AGCACTTAAGATAGGCCTACGCCACCCAAAAATGATCTGCTAGTCTTTTTACGCTTAGTATGGAGGTAATTTGAGGGATAGGTATGCAGTGGCACCCACTTTAAGTCAACAAATTAAACATTGTGGAAAAAACCCAACTAATAAACCTCATTGTGGACGTGTATGAGTGATTGATGAACTGTGTGAAGTGCAGTAAGAACAAACCAGAGTCCCACATTATTTTTCCAGTCTCCATGATTGCTTTATTGAATTAAGCACCAGCTCAATATGGTCAACATCCAGATAAGTGAAGACATCTTTAAACTCAAAGAGTATAAAATCATTTTAGCAACACAGAAGCAAAACCCCCACCCTCACCCAACCCAAAAAGAAAAATCCATCCATCCGTCTTGCAGGTGTAGAATAGAAACCGAGTCCTGAGTCGTTTACTGTCCAGGAGCTGACAGACTTTTGTTCATGAACTGCCTTTTGACAAAGCACACCCACCACTGAAGGGAAAAACAACAACAACAAAGCAACTCATGTCAAGTTGAATCGTCCAAAGCTGCTGCACTCAGACTACCTGAGGCAAGATGGGTACCTCACAAAACAGGATACAGATTGTTTTAGTGCTCAACACCTGAACCTGTACTCAATATGTTGAAATGCCATATATAGATTCGATGGATGTGCTGTGTTCAAATGAAGAACACCTATTTTTCCTCTTACCTGTAGTGCTGTTTATCAATCTTTATAGTTTTTGTGAGTTGCAGAGTGTTGGAGATATCGGCCATAGAGATGTCTGCCTTGTCTTAAATATAATAAGACGACACGGCACTTGGCTTTTGGTGTTTGAAGCGTCAAAAATAATTTTGAAAAACTTGTGAGAAGTTTCATGTAGGAACTATTTTCTTTCTACCGAACTACACCTGCCAACTGTTTCACCACGCGGGGGGAAGTGTGTATCTATTCATAGATGAGAGACTTGTCTCATGCTCACGACAGCGTGAGATGTTAACATAAATGTCGTTCTCCTTGGCTGAGCTTAGCTCGCTCAGTGGTGCTAAGTGAGCTAGCAGTAGATGCACGCTTCCTTCTGTGCAGTGATGCAGTTGGCAGGTGTCGTTTGGTTAAAGGAAACAGCTCCTACATGATGTTGCTCACAATAAGGTCTGTGGATTATCTTGATTAACCAGGTCATGATTTCTGAGAATCTTTGAGTTTTTCAAATGTATTTTTTAAGCATTTTGAGCACCATCTAGTTCTGATATATTTAAAGAGAAGTCAGACATCTCTTCGGCTGAGATCTCCAACACTCAGCATCTTACACTAAAACAATCTACACAGATAAAAAGCACTTCAGGTAAGAAGAAAAATATGTAGTTTTGGTTTTGGGGTGAACTGTCCTTTAATGTTCCTATGTCAATCCTTAAGAAGGCACTATAGCTTAGTATTCTGTAATGCCTTCTCAAGTTGTCTGTAGTGTTAAACTGAGGATGTCAGGCTCACCTTGCTGGGTTTGTCTGTCTGGGGGTCAAACACGCGATCACATAGCCTCAAGCCGGTTTCCTGGCGGATCTGCTGGAGGTACGCCCTCATAGTATCTGGGAAAAGCAAGTGTTATCATCACCAAACACTGTCAAACTAACACTAAGGAGAAGTCACACCATAGCATAATATTTATTACTGCTACATTAAGACTGGGAAATAGGACCTCAGGCAGTCAATTTTTGATGTCCGATCTTTATATTTTCTTTTACGGAAAAAAGAAGCCAGTGTAAATATTCAGTAGTAGTTTAAAGAGCTGTGACAATTCCAAAGCAAATATGGACATAGTGTTGGTTCAGTAAAATTGACACCTCAGCCTCGACATATCTCCAGGGATGATAAGTGTCCACACCCACTGTATAAGAACAAGGCTAAGGGACATCGCATAAGCATGAAACAGCACTTTCACCTCAGATCCTAAAAGCTGGCAGGGCTCTGGTCAGCATTGCTATTCTGGGCTTGATATTACTTCAGGCTGGGAATTATATGGAATATGAGAAGGGTACAACGAAACTGGCTGAGACCAAGCGAGTGAGTTCTTACCATCCTCCTGCTTGTTTGCAGGTTTGACATACATAGCGTTGAGAGGGAAGCCAGGTTCCCCAGGAATGGGAAAGTTAGTGATGCCCAGAGTGTACATCTCCTTCTCTCCCTGGCTTCTGGAGCTGCACTGTAAAGAGCAACCACATACACCAATGCTAACGGTTAGGTCACCTGTTATAGCAACACCTATTTAAATAAGCATTCCGGCAGCTAATTTCTCCTCCCTGTGTGTAAGGAAAACAATTCACGTTCTATTAAACATTTAATGGCTCAGTGAAAAACATCTGGTAAGCCCTTGTGGCTTTTTTAAAAACCCTAACTTTTGCACAAGCCTTTAAATTGCTGCTACGCATCTCAAGATTCGCATGAAGCCAGTGTGCAGACCTTTCCCACTGTAAACTCTCTACATTAACAAACATGCAGTTTACCTTCTGTAGCCTCTTTAGGCATTCAGAAATGTACAGTGTGACATAGATCAGCGTCCTGTCCGCCTCATTCTGAAAGAAACAAAACACACAGATTAGCACAGTTCCGGCCAGGTCTGAACAGTAAATGGTTACGTAGGTTAAATCCTGAGCAAATATGCATTGCTGAGGGGAACAGGGAGAGCAAGCTGGGGCATGTGAAAGAACGAAATCCACAGCTGCTTCAAGACAGAGAGAGAAAACGCATACAGGAACAAGCACACTTGGAAGGTACATACTTGTCCCTCAGCCAGATATCTTTATGAACAAATAAGAATTCTACTCTTCTTTATGTTTCTTATTTAGTTAAATTTTGCTCTGTCAAATATCTACAGGCAGCAAAGTTATGAAGACTTTCTTTAAACACTTTGGCCACCTTTTAACGAGGGATAAATGCAGGAAATACAAGTGACGGTAAAATTCTTACCTTGATTTCGTAGTTCTTAAAGAAAACATTGGCCTTGAAGTAGTAGATAGCCTCATCAATGATGTCTGACTCAATACCTGGAATGGAAAAAAGGTATTACTAATTGAAAAGGCTCTCGATTCAATACTAGAGCTGCAAATAGTGATTATTTTCATTGCCGATTTATCTACCAATTATCTTCTCCATTAATTGATATAACCAAGTTAAATTTAAGACTTTTAAAGAACTTTTTAATACCACCTTATATGAAATTTAAGACCAAACCTGCAAGTTAGTACTTGTTGAACAGAAAGGAAAAACTTCAACAATTGGGTGAGTTTAAGTTTTGTGTATTTAATGGAAAAAGAATAAAAATCTTGTCAGAAAAACTATTTATTGTTGCAATTCTTTGGCCTGTCAAATGATTTTAAACAGTCACTGGGTCTGTCAGGCTGTTGAAATTTTCGCAGCAATGTGACTGACATTATTTAGGACCCATCAAATCTGAATTTAAGACAATGACTTTTTATGACCATTAAGAAAATGTAATTTAAGTCTTTAAGGACCTGCAGACACCCTGAAATAGTGAAAATGTCGGTGTTTCCCAAAACCCAAGTTGAAATTCTCAAATGTTTTTTTACACAACCCAAAGATATTCAGTTTATTGTCATAGAGGAGGCAAGCAACTAGAAAATATTCACATTTACGAGGCTGGAATCAGAAAAGAATAATTTTATAGTCAACAATGTATCAATTAATCGTTGCAGCTCTTGTCAACACAATCTGAATCTGCAACTTGCTTGTACAAGTGTTGTCAAGCTGTTTATTCATGCAGAGTTATTTCCTGTTTTGGTCACTGCACAAGTTTTTTGAATGTGGTGAAGCTCTATTTTTGTTTTGTGATGTAATTGTGATACACAGGCTGCTAAGAAATGACTCCAGTTTTTAATAACCTTATAACTGGCATATCTGGCACTTATTTTGGCCCCACTATGACTGCTTTTGTTTTGCAGATTATGATATTTTTAATGATCTTTACAATACACCAAAATCTGAGAAGTGCACTAACTTCCAAGCTTGACAGACACAAAGAAAAACTTTAAGCAGAGTCTAAAGACATTAATGAAGAAGTTGAACTTCAGGATGCACTCTTCAGGCCATATATGGAAGTAAAGCTAAAACATGTATCAGGAACTGAGCAACGTGTCATCACACTGCAACAAAACTAACTCCAGCAGCTGGGAATCCATTACAAGCTAAACATAATGACAGTGTTTCTGTGATTGAGAGGGGTTAGCTTTACTTTGTGTTAATTAAAATGACCATACAGCCTTACCGTCTCCTCTGGCTGGTCCTTTGAACTGGGTTTTGAGGGGAAGCAGAGCCATGTTCCCCACCAGCCTGGTTTCGGGGATCATCAGGCTTGAGTGATACGCCTTAAAAAGAGGCAAAAAGTTGCTGTCACATACATTTACCAAGTGACGTTAACTAGGAGTTACATTGCTGTTATATCGCTAACATCTCTGCTGTCATCCCGTGTGATTTAACGTCTATGCTAACACGACACCAAGCATTTTATTTTAACAGATACTAAACTAAAAATAATTTGCATAAGAGTTAAAAAGGTGAATTTGCGGTTTCTGTCATGCAAAACGTCACTAAATTGTGAGCAGATGCTAACACAGCTAGCCAGCTATGCTAACGAGACTCCACATCAAAGCTAACGCTAACTCGGAGGCCCCGGTGTCACCCAGCTCCGTTGCTATGCAGGTTTTTTGCTCTAAAGCCCACAATAGAAGCTTCAACTGCTCAATAATCTTTTTTTAATTTACTCACCGGCATGTTGAGTGATAAATATCAGTCCAACTGCTCAGCGAGAGACAAATACGAGCACCACCGGACCCAGCTTCCGCTTGTCCCACCCTTCAGTTTTACAGGAAGTGGCTACGTGCTATGTAGCGTACCGTCCACACGGGGGTGCTAGCACACCGGTTTTATTCACACAGGAAGTCAGGCTGTATTTTGTGTATTTTTTATTTAAAAATAAAGCAGTCAACTTGTATATTTTGTCTAATATTTTATTTAAAAAATACAGCATTAATAAATGTATTTAATAACTCTTTTAAAACTTTACACTGCCCTGAATGGACTCATATCACACATTTCTGGAGTCATCAAAGCAACACGCAAGAACAAAACCTCAGAACATACATTACACAAAATGTCCACGATCTTCAGTCAGTCTTTTCCACAAACATGTCCCTTTTTATTGTCCTTGTATTCACGTGCCATTCTTCATCTGGACTTGACACAGTGTATCCTGGTTCTTTATCAAAATGTTTTTTGTTTCTGTTTCAACTCTGACCCCTTCATTCAGTATCCCTGGAGTCACACGACTCCTCAGCTGTCCCCTTTGTCTTGAAAAGCTTCATCATAATTTAGGTTAGCAGGCTCCTCTTCAGTTTCCTGTAGAAAAGGAAATGATGGGAAAAACAACAAAGGAATTATTCATAAAATCATGATAATTTCCAAATAAATTGTAAGTACACCAAATTGTTAAAGGTCCAGTGTGTAGGTGTTAGGTAGATATATTGGCAATAATGGAATATAATATAATAAGTATGTTCTCTTAAGTGTAAAATCACCTGAAAATCTAAATCAATGTTAGAATGAGCCATTTGACTGTTGACAACCATGTGGGATCAAAGAAGCAATTCACTTTAATACCTTTTGGGGTGCCACTTGGTCACCCTTTTTTGGACTAAAATTCATGGCATTCTTGAATTTTTTATTTTTTTTTAAACCAAAAAAACCTTTAATTGTGAACTGATTATTAGTGTTGTGTAAGAAATCCCTAACCAAGAAATGGTGGAAAAAAATAAATACCTAGTATTGAGGAATGGATTGACTTGGGATGTTATATTTATGTAATGAAGAGAATGACTTTTAGTTTGAGAACACAGAAGGAAATCTTTATTTAGAACTCGATGAAATGATTTTTTCTGAATAAGTACTAGAAACACATTGTGGTGAGATTAGCAGCCCCTAACTGTCTCTGCATGTATGTCTTGATTCAACATCCTTGTTAGCACAATCTATTTATCTGTTATTTATTAATTACAAAAAAAGAATGAGCCATTTATATGGGGGATTGGCAGTAGCCCAGTACGGACAAACCAAACACTGACTCTAAAGAGGGCCATCTGCGTTTTGGCATCAGCCATTGTAGTTAGCAGCCCCTCTGCGACAGGCGGCGTTGGAAAAACACAGATTTTTTAATATGAAACTGCTTTATTCAGTGGTTATACTGCTTTGAATCACCACGTCTGTTTGATCTGGAAAGGAAAGACCTCTGCGGATAATGCGGCTCCTGGTATAAACCCTTTGAACGTCTAGATTTTAAGTTACCAGAGACAAAAGGTGAGCACAGATTAGCAGGTTCTACGTTAGCGGCCTGTGTCTGATATGCCAAACATCACTTGACAAACACTGATTTGAAACGTAAAACTGCTTTATTCAGAGTTTTTACCAGTTAAAATCACCTGGTCTGTTTGTTTTAGAGAGGAAGAGACCTCTGCGGATAATTCGGCTTCCAGTAAAATCCTCTAGAACAAGGAACACTGAAGAAATCCTAACTGGGTGAAGTTTTAGCTAGTTGCAATTTGCGTTGATCAACGCTAGATGCCACTATATCCTCCTAAATCTTACACACCGGACCTTTAAATGATATCTTGCTGTGTTTTGTGTTTGTTAGTTTCTTTACCTTTGGCTCCTTGAACTCCAGGTCCTCTCCATACTGTATAGAGAAGTCAATGTTTTGCAGTACTATGTTAATACCCTCCTCATCTGTGCGGTCAAAAGGCAGGAATCTCACCATGCTGTAGTCATCAATCTGGACACAGACGAAAAGACTCATAAGAAAAATTCTACATTCTGATCCAAAATTAAACACAGTATCATATTAAGAGCTTCACTTACCAGACCACAGATGGCTGAAGTCAGCTTCTTGAACTTTGTGCTTCGGATGGTATCGGAGTTATCTTCCATCATTGAGTACATGTCTGGGTCCAGGTACCTAGTGATAAAAAAGCAAAACATAACTGAGGTTCAGACTATTAAAGAACTCTCTTTAATGAAAGAACATCAAAGACAAAAACCCCTCTCTTATTTGGGTCTTATGCAACTTACTTCTCAATCTCCTTCTTGGCCTTGGGATTCAGCAGGTCCATTTTTGTCATGATGTTTACTTGAGGGATCTCTAACGACACCATGGCACTCAGGGCAGCCATCACTCCTGAGATGAACTGCGGATAGAGACAATAAAAGATGTGAGACTTCACGCTTGCTTTTATTACTACATTAAGTGCAGATATAATGACACAGAAGAGATTGTCTGTAACCTTAAAAGACTCCACCATGAACTGGGAGTCCACCAGAAAGACCCCACACACCCGAAACTCCCACTGCTGGAGCTGCTCCACCAGCTGCCTCATTACAGGGAGGTGTGTGTACAGTTCAATCTGACCTGCAAGAAGAAAACCACTTGTCAAAACTATGCCACAGCTGTAAAACATAGCGCCACAGTTTTAATCTATAGTGCTGATGTAAATACAGTTTACACAGTAAGTCATAATTACAATGCTGTAATGAAAATTCTGGCAAATCTCATCTTAGTTTCTCCCATTCACGTGTTATCTTTCTTAAACGAATTCAGCTTCTCCTTTAGTTGTGATGGTTGTTAAGCTGTCTTGATTGTTGAGGACAGGAGGCCTATTTTTTTTTTTTTTACTATCACTATTACAAGTGTGTTAAAGGAACATTAACCCTCCAAATGACCATTTGATATCAATTAATCACCAAGTGTAACCTTGAATTTGTGAAGAAAACTTAATGGAAAACTCAATGGAAAATGTAGCTTTATTCATTCTCTCTTAAAAGCCAGACCCCATTGAAAAAAACATTAATTTTACCATGCTCAACACAGGGGCTGCTGATCTACTGCTACCTTGAGTGGTAGTTTGTTTTACATTATTGTGTGACTTTCGTGAATCCAACCTAATCTTTTAAAACATGAAAGTCACACAATAACACAAACAAACTAACTGACCAAGGCAGCAGTAGACCAGCAGCTCCTGCGTTAAGCATGGTAAAATTACTGTTTTGTAAATGGAGTCTGGCTTTGAGGAGAGCATAGATAAGGTTTACTTTTAGTTTGGTTCCCTTCAGAAAGGACTGTCTATTTCGAAAGTGCTGAACATACAACTGGATAAATGAGACTTGCATTATACTGCATGAGTTGTGTGAGAGTTTATACATGGATTTTTATGATATGGGTGTTTACCTGGACAATCAAACAGTATGTAGTCATCCTCTACGTGACCCAGGCTCTCCTCGAGCCAGTCAAAATTATTGGCGAAGTACTCCATGCAGAACACCAGGCCTCCGTTAGGGCCAAATCTGAGAGAGGCATCCTCCATCACGTCATCCACCTGAATGAGTTCACGGATGTCTGTGGACACAAAGACAGTGAGGCATAGAGCAAAATAACAACAACTAAACAACACCAAATAAATATTAGCATGTAATTCAGGACATTTATCTCACTAACAATGTGCAGTGCAGAAAGAATCACGTTCCTTATTAATACACTGTAGCAAATGCAATTCAATAAGCAAACTACTAGGGGTGGGTATCACCAGAGGATCCACCATACAATATTATAATGATACTTAAGTCCCAATAAGTGGTACTGGGTATTGCGATAAAATATATATTGCAAGTATATATTACCTTTTTTGGACTGTAAATTATGTCCCCACAGGAACACTTTGTCATCACCTCTTTTATCTAATATGATAACGTTTTCAGTCTATTGTTTATTGTGTCTTTGTAATGCCGTAGACTGTAATGTAGACTCTTTCAGCAAGTTAACATGAGTTACCATCCCCACAAAGGGGTCTCACAACACACATCATCTCTCCCTCTCCTCTCTCGCACTGTGTACACAGGAGTCAGTGTCGTCAAGTGATTTTGTCATAAACCTTTGGTAATATAAACCTATGTGAGGCTCAATACTCGACAAATAACTACATATATGTGAATGTGATAGTTGTGGTATCATAACAGCCTGTCACAGGTTACAGTGTGATGATTAGAGGAGAAATGGCAGAGCATAAAGGTCCAGGTGGAAAAAAAACAACTCAATCATTTAGGATTTTGCTAGAAGACAGAAATCACCTGTTGATTTATAGATCCCAGGGGTAAACTTTTTTTGTATTTGGGAGCTGTTTAAATGTGTAATTTGTGGTAGATGTTATTTGTTGAACTATAAATATTGTATACAGAATCTGAATTTCACTCTGAGTTACTGTTGTTGTTTACAAACTAAAGAAACGAGATCATTTGTGTTTAGTTTTACTTAATATTTTGAGGCAAACTGTTAAATTATATCACTTGTTTTGTTGCTATACTATCTTCTTTAATGAATAATGCATTTTTTAAAATCATTTTTAATAATTCCATTTGTCATATCATCATGAATATCGTTAACACAAAAATACTCTGAAATATTATATATTATTATTCTAAGGCCATATCACCCATCCCTGGTCAGAAGCTGTGACATATGTTTATTTATGGTAAAGGGAGGGTCATGCATTTCCCCCCGTCACTCAGAGAGGCTCAAGGAAAATATCTGTAGCTACAGGGATAGTCATGATACATAAATATAAGATAAATGAAGCCATTCCCCGACTCTGATAAACAAAGTATAGTCCCTAAGTGAATATAATCTGTAATGCTGTATTCACCTGCCATGACAGGGTAGTCAAAGTACTCAGCTGCTGGGTCCAGGTTGACCACCTGCGCTGAGCGGTTCAGGCTCTCTAAATGCTGGATCATGGTGGAGCAGTACGTACTCTGAAATGGAAAAACAAAGCTCTAACAATACACAGACAAAAGGCAGGTATAGCTTAAACTTGGTCTGTGTGGATAAGACTACCTCATGCCTTTAGCATGGCGCTTTAGTCGGATAGCATAACAAGTCATTTCAGCGCGTGTGACTGAGTGACCGATGACGTACCTTCCCGCTGCCCGCCGGGCCCATCACGAGCTGTGCGAAACGAGGCATTTTGCCTCAATAAAAACGCGTTGTTTTAAAGTTAAATCCCTTTATTCGCTAGCTACAGCTAACTATAGCAACTGTACTGATGCCTTAGGACTTCTTCTTCTTGTTATAACGGACAATCACGCCCGTTGTAAGTCTCACTACTGCCATGTTGTAAATAGAGGCCAAGAGGGGAACTACACTCACAGGCCTCTATTAGTTCACTTTGCTAGTACCGTTTTGGACCCCTTTTGCCTTCAGAGCTGCCTTAATTCTTGGTGTCATGGATTCAACAACGTGCTGGAAACATTCCTCAGAGATTTTGGTCCATATTGACATGATAACATCACACAGTTGCTGCAGATTTGTCAGCTACACATCCATGATGCGAATGTGTGTGTTTAAACCATGCTCAGTTGGTACTAAGTGGCCCAAAGTGTGCCAAGAAAATACCCCCCACACCATTACACCACCACCAGCAGCAGCCTGACCTGACCATCTGAATGTCTATTGTCCAGTTTTGGTGAGCCTGTGTGAACTGTAGCCTCAGTTTCCTGTTGTTAGCTGACAGGAGTGGCACCTGGTGTGGTCTTCTGCTGCTGTAGCCCATCTGCTTCAAGGTTGGACGTGTTGTTGGTTCAGAGATGGTCTTCTGCAGACCTTGGTTGTAACCAGTGGTTATTTGAGTAACTGTTGCCTTTCTATCATCTTGAACCAGTCTGGCCATTCTCCTCTGACCTCTGGCATCAACAACATTTTCACCCAGAGAACTGCTGCTCACTGGATATTTTCTTTTTCAACCATGCCACCTTCAAAGTGACTTAAATCACCTTTCTTCTCCATTCTGATGCTCAGTTTGAACTTCAGCAGGTTGTCTTTGACGATGTCTACATGCCTAAATGCAGTGAGTTGCTGCCACGATTGGCTGATTAGCTATTTGTGTTAACAAGCAGCTGAACAAATGTACCTAATACAGTGTGCGGTGTACATGACATTTGCCCCCTAACTGAATTTTATGTCCTCATTAAAACCTGGAAATTAAAGATGTATTTACTTAAATCCTGTACACATAAAAATGTGTAAAATACTAGGAGTGTATTAATTTTGAGCAGTTTTTGACACCCATTCGCAAATTCTGATTTTATGCAAACAAAGTTATTAACATTACCAACCATAATACATGGCCGTATACAATTAAGAGAAATGTGGAAGACAAAAACAAAAGAACTACCTGGCAGAAAAAAACATTAGTAATCGAACCCTTGATGTTTTCTTAATTGAAATCATCGCCAAACAAGGCTTTATTGACAGAATACACACGAGATTTACAAAACAACACCATTTTGTTGCCCATGTCTCTGGGCACAGATTATTAGTGTTCATGCACAATTCATTACAACTGCATAAGCTGATCTGTTGACAGCACCATGAAGTAGCTCATCTACAATTATTATTTGTGGTCACCTCGAAACCCAGAAACAACATTTATATTGCATTCATGCATATACAAATATAACTATAAAATATCCTGCATATTTTATACATAGAAGGCTACTTGCCCGTATGTGATCTTACATGCTTTGCCAATTGAGACTCATCAAAGTATCTTTTCCTGCAGATCTTGCAAACGTATGCTTCTCACCAGTGTGGGCTCTTCTAATGTGGACTAACAAGTTATAACTACTTCCAAAAGCTTTTCCACATGTTTTGCAAGAGTACGGCTTCTCACCTGTGTGGATTCTCATGTGGACTAACAAGTTACTATTACGTCTGAAATCTTTACCGCATATTTTACAAGAACACGGCTTCTCACCTGTGTGCATTCTCATATGAACTTTCAAATCTGGTGTCCGATAGAATCTTTTCCCACATGTGCTGCAAGAATATGGCTTCTCACCTGTGTGGGTTTTCAGGTGTTGCTTCAAGTAATCGCTATGTGTGAAAGCTTTGCCACACGTGTCACACTGAAATGGCTTCTCTCCTGTGTGGGTTCTCATGTGGGCGATCAGGTGACTCTTATATCGAAAATCTTTGCCACATGTTTTGCATGAAAATGGTTTCTCACCTGTGTGGACTCTTTTGTGGATGTTCACTGATGATATCTGACTGAATCTTTTCCCACAGATGTTACAGGAATACGGCTTTTCACCTGTGTGGGTTTTCATGTGGCCTTTCAAGTGGTCATTAAGTCTGAAAGATTTCCCACATACCTTGCATGCAAACGGCTTCTCTCCTGTGTGGATTCTCAGGTGGATATTCAAGCGAGACTTAAACCTGAAAGCTTTCCCACAAATGTCACATGTCACAAATGCGTTAGGGTGAAACAGGTTGCTTTTGTCATGTTGACCCTGTTGTTCTAGCTCTGCTTCTCTAGTTGACACTGAGTCTCCTTGCTCGTCTCCTTCCTGATCGGGGCTCTCAACTTCATGAGAGCTGTGAGAGAGGAGATAGTGGTCGCTAATTAGCTCTGGTGTGACAGAGCTGTTAACAAAAATGTAGTTTATAAGGTTTTCTTCCAACACATTCTGAGGTTCATCGATGCTCAAGTTCAAAGTCTGATCTTCATGAGGAGGAGTCACTAGAAAGGTCTCAGTCTCCTGCTTCACTTCAAGCTGCTCTCCCTCCTGACTGCTGCACACTTCCTCCTCTTCCTCTTTAATCTGTGGAGGCTCTGGCTCCTCTTGGTCCACACTGGATTTTCTCTCCTCAATACAGAGCTGCTGCTCAGCGACAACCTCCTCCTCCTTACACACATCTTGCTGTGGGAGCTCTGGAGGGACACAAAACAAAAGCGAGCTTATTATTACCCCTTATTATCCCTCTGTTTCGTGGTATTTAAAAAAATGGCGTTTACCCACCTATCCTGTGTAAGTTAACTTCCGGTTTCCAAGCTATATCCAACAGTCTGCGCTGACGGTCGATCTCTTTCTCGTACTCGACGATAGTTTTCTCAAAAACTCCCAATATTTCTTCAGCAGCAGCAGTTAGTCTCTCGCTGACAAACCCTCTCAAATACTCAACTGAAGACATTGTTGCGTCATTACAACTGAAGGTGCCTGCTTCAATTAGCTCGCACATAACGCCTTTATTCTGTTTACTTCCGCTTGTGCTACACGAATACTGTCCGATAGTGGAATGTATGTTTTTTTGTTGTTTCGTTCCGCTTGCAATTGTTGGCTTTTTTTTTTAAAGAACGTGAGTTTAACACCAGTAAAGACTGCAACGAGCTGTCTCAGTATCATTTGTGTTTTATGAAAAGGCAACGGTAACAGCGCAGAGGCTTCGTTTTGTATTCAAACTCAGCATAGGAGCTATTGTTGTGTTGGTTTAACATTTGCTTCCTAACTTAATTTTAATGTTCTCATCAAAACCTGGACGTAGAAGATGTTCAAAATACTTGCATAGTTTTCAACACCCATTCGCAAATTTTAATTTGACATACAAGTTTCACGCAAATAAAGTCTTTAACATTACCACCCATAAAACATGACAACAATGACTGAATGACTGTCTGCATGTTGTGTCTACTGTCACCACACTAGTATTATAAGAGACCATGCAATTGTAGATGAAACTACCCTTTCTCTCAATAAATTTAATAATAATAAGTTTTATTTGTAACGCACTTTACATAAAAACAAATCTCAAAGTGCTACAGAAGGCAGTGCAGATATGCTATGCTACGAATTAAAAACAGACAACATGATGAAATACAGTAAAGGGCTTTAGTAAAAAGGTAAGTCTTTAATTTGCGTTAAAAGCGTCCACAGTCTGTGGTGCTCTCAGGTGGTCAGGGAGAGCATTCCACAGTCTGGGAGCGGCCGAGCAGAAGGTCCGGTCTCCCATGGTGCTGAGTCTGGTCCTGGACCTTTGATTTTAAAGTACCATTTCCCGCTGATGAGTAAGTGACTAATGGACAGCGTCTTGACAGAGACGACAAACTAGCTCGACAACATGGCCAAACACAAGTATGACGCTGCATATTTTAAACTGTGGGGACCTTGAACTAATAACTAAGGAGAAATGTGGACCCCACAGCTGGACCTGTTGGGAACCATGGCAATAAACATTCAAGATAAATGCTACTGCTGCCAAAAAGACTCTCTGGTAGGATGAAAACATGATTGATCCAACACATGAGAGTTTATTAACTGACATCATTACCATACAAGGCTTTATTGATAGAGTACAGACATGACATAGGAAAACAGCATCACGTTGTTGCCTAGTCTCTTTGGGCACAGATAATTAGTGTTCATGCACAATTCTTTACAACTGTATAAGCTAATATGTTGACAGCACCATGTAGTACATCATCTACAATTTTTGTTTGTGGTTACCTCTAAAGGGAGAACAAAAATTATATTGTGTTCATGCACAAACAAGATACATAGACATATCCAAGGAAATATTGTAGACAAAAAAAGACCAGTCTACAGGAGGTGTCAGATGTTTTCTTCAAGCCTGTGTGTAAGAGCCATGTATTTACTTTTGTTTCCATGTGTTCATTTTTTGTTTTGAGGGTTATTTTCCTCCGAGCCACCAGAGGTCAGTATCGTGTCACGTAGCTAAGGCGGAAGGTGGCTACAGGTGTCTTAAAATTTGTGTTGATTTTGTAAAGGTTTGCTGAAGTGGTAGGACGCCAACAGTTTTCGACTGTGCTCGGTTTTTATTTTTGTATTTTATTGTGATCAAAGGCTTATTGGAAGTTAAAGGAACCATCGCGAGAAATAAAATGCAGTTTGAGTTAAATTGCAACGTCTACCATCGGTTTTATTTAGTTTTGTGTTAAACTGAGTACACGTCCTAACAGCCATTTATGCCACTGTCAGCCGGTAGCGGCTAAGTATAGGACTAGTCACTACAATGTGTAATTCAACATGCCGCAATTCTGTCGCTCCCCACTTCTCTGAGTTCTTGTGTGTTTTGACCACAAGAGCAGAACTGTCCTCTTCATGTTTTGGAAATACAAGGCCACTTGCCTGTATGTGATCTCACGTGCCTTCTACACTGAGACCCATCAAAGTATCTGCGTGGACTCTCATATGAGCATTTACATCTGATGTCCGACAGAAACTTTTCCCGCAGATCTTGCAAAGGTACGGCTTCTCACCA